TTCATAAAGATGGTGGAGAGATTATCAAAAACAATTGCAGGCACTGGAGAGAAGAAATAAAACACGATATCTTCTTAGTATAATACATGTGAATGTGAAAAAAACACTTCAACACTGCAATCTAGTACTTAACAAGATGTCCCCCCCCCCAAAATTGCTGGGCTTGGCTACTCCGAATACAAGTGGATTTGTGGAAACTGAACAAATATGAGTATGCAGTTTCCTTTCTGGACATCATACTCTAAAGTTGTGACTTGTTTTATGTAATTTTATCTTATGTAATTTTCAATAATTTTCACTACTGAATTTGTAGAAAGGAGGGTCATTCCCAGCAGTTTCATAGAAAAAATTCGTTTTCTACGTGTATGAAATCTGATACAAACCAGAACCCAATGGCCAACCTAACTTCGCAGTTTCCTACTCATGAGAAGTACGTACGTGATCCCCAGTACTCTTGAAACAAGTAATGTTTTTTTCCTTCTTATTTTCTCAGCAATTTCCTTGCTAATGAAAGTATGAGATTATTCACACCAAATTACGAAAATGCTTTTAGAACGTAATCCAGACCAGAGCGTAAATACATTTTTGTTCACACCACACCACTGTCCTGTACAGTACCAACATTTTTGTTATTAATTAACACTTCCTTAGAAATTATAATTAGTTTGTTCTCAAAATGTAGTAACTACCAACAATTTCAAAACATTTTTTTTAATATTAGTTTTAGTTATAGTTAATAATAGTTTTACAAGAAATAAAATAAACTGCACTGTTATCTAAATAAAGAACTGTAAATAATTTCATATTCACACAGAACCAGACACTAAAAATCCTATTTTTGCTCACCTGACATACTTCATTGCAGTAAACAAGATAGCTCGACATTGTGAGCAAACTACATGAGCCTCTTCCTGACACACTGCACATATTGGCTGTCTCTCTGAATTACAAACGACTGGCACAGGATGTCTAGTTGCTGAATAACTTCTTGTTCTGTAGGGCAGTATCCTGTAACACAATTCTTTTAATAACAATTTGAATTCACAAATTAAAAAAATAAAAGAACAAAAATGGAAAGAAGATATATGATTCATTCCAAATAAAACCCAACAGACAAAACCTGGAATGTTCCAAAATTTCCAATTTTTTTTTTTTTTTTTAAACCACTATTACAAAAAATAAAAGACATGAGTTTGGTAGTTTGGCTGAACTTACTTTCTCCCCCCCCCCCTCTCCTCATAAGTGTTATTTTAAATAGTGTGAAAATGTCCTGGATCAGATGCGCACGCGCACACACACAACGCGCGTGCGCAGACACAAACGCGCGCGCACACACTCTCATAATATTGTAGATTTCTAACAGAAATCTTAAATCCTATCCTCTGTGATGCTCTGGGTGTTTCTCGTCTTTTCGAGATCTGGATTCCACCACATTGGCATATTCAATTATCTCACGAATGTAGAGAAAATTTTCTTTAATGCTGAGGAATTCAAGGTCGAGAAGGCCTTCCTAATCAGATATAGAGCAGTGTTGCTCTCTTAAGTTACGTTGTTAATTTGATTTTCCCATTTAAATTTTGTGTTATGATCACACCAAAATCGTTTTGTTTGTTAGGTCTCTGCCAAGGTGTGTCCATTTATAGATTGATAGTTTTGGGTTATTTCTTCCAATGTATAGAGTGCAGACATTTGTCTGTATTCACGAGGAGCAACCAAATTTCAGACCAGTTTGCAACAGAATCAATATCTTTTGTAACTCAGCATGAAATGTCAAAGGGTTGACAAAGAGTTTAGTATAGTCAGATAGCAATTCCAAGTCGAAGATTTCCCTCATTTCCCATGTCTACTATGTGCGGTCTCAGAATTGGAGGAGTAGTGAAATCAATGTCGTTAGTAAAGATCAAAATCTAAGATTGCAGGGTTTAGCTCTTCTATACCTTGTAGTTAGGGCACTATCTGGGTTTTAATGTTTGAATTAACTTAATACTCCAAGAATATTGCTCAATTTCTATACCTGATGAAGCTTCGTGTTTAGCTCCATGAATTGATGGGAAATTAAAATCAAAAATCAAGTCTTGCTTATATTGTTTGCTACTCTCTAAATTCTTTCAGAGTATAAGATCAGATTGAATAGGCCTTGATCCGACATAGGGGGGTCTGTAAACTGCAATCATAATTCGGCATTACTTATTTTCAAGTTTAACCATAAAGCCTCTACGAGGGGATCATGTAGTTCATATAATGTAGAAGCACCTACAGCAGTAGAATTTATTGTACTATATGTGATGTAAATTAAGATACCTCCCCACGTTTTTTAAGCCTCTCATTACGAAAGATAGCATATCCAGGGACATTCATCATGGTGATATCTGGCTTCACGCCATGATTCGCGTGATGGTTATATCAGGTTACATCAACTTCTAGTAAAAAACTGATCAATCTTTGAATAAGGGATGAGAGATTAGTGTACATAATTATTGGATTTGTCCAACCATGCCCATTGCTGCTTTTATTCATTTCCCTGTTTGGGCACAATCCAGGGGTTTCTTCTAATAATCTAATAACCAAGGTTGGGTTGGTTTTCTGCCTATCAATCAATTTGCTTTAAGACCTTTCAACCTCCTTCTCTGTAACGGGGTTCGATCATTATTTACTCTCAACTCTTGAGGTAACTCTCCTGCTTTTCCTCAAAATATCTTAAGCAATATTACTTCTTTCATAACTAACTTACTTGGCCAGGGATTTTCGAGATTGCCCAAACTTGAGATCTGCAATATGTGTTTATGAAATCAATTCCTTCAAGCTCGAATTGCCCAAAGCATTCTCTGACGTCACAACTACTACGCTCTTTTGCTTCTCTGGAATTCCACAGCC